AGAAAGAACAGCTCCCAGTTAAAAACAACCATGTTGTTACTCACCGATTTGAGGAGTCCCTAAGGCCTCTAAATGTTTCCCCTTTTGAATGTCAAGATATGCATCTCTCCTGAGGGGTCGTCAGGGCCTTTGGATTCCAACCTGCCCTAGCTGTGCTTCCTAAAGCAGTGAGTAGTGTTCAGGGGTGAGTAAGCAGGGGGTGGTAGGCAAGGAGGCAAAGCAAAGCACTACTGTCAAAACCTGAAACCACAGATGCTGGTCTAAGTATGTACGCCCAGTTCATTAGGACACACATGGTCTTTGGGGGGCCTCAGAATCAGCCTTCACCACAATCTGGTGGCAGCAGAGAACTGGACAGATTATAAAGGACGGAGAGTTTGGAAGACAGAAGACTGACTAATTAATAATGAGCTCTTAAAACAGGCTGGTAATAAGTGATGGCATTCTGATCCAGGAAAGTGGTGGAGTAGGCTGAACGCAGGAGAAAGGCACAAGAGATAGCCAGCAAGTAGAATCTACGTTAACAGGCAGACAGTGGAGGCTATGGGAAAGTACCCAAATTGGCTTCCCAACTTGGTGTAGACTCAAGGGCCAAGGCAAAGGGTGACCTGGGGGGTGGCGGGGTTTGAGCTGGGTCAGAGCTGTGGACTGGCTGGAGGGCAACAAGCAGTGCCCTGTGCTCCTTCTGTAGAAATGGGGATAACACAAACACTTGTGGGACAGATTAAAGGAAACACTGAATGTAACCCAGCATTTGGTGATTTTCCCCCACAGAGCTGCAGAGAGAGCTATCAGGATGAGCAATTTGTGAAGCTAAACAAAAAACTGATCTTGGCATTTTAATTCTCATATAATATGATGGGTACAGTTCAGTTTTGTAGTATATTTACATGGTTATACAACTAGTTCCAGAATTATGTCATCCCTAGTTCCAGAGTTATCATCACCCCAAAAAGCTCCATACCCATCAGCAGCAATTTCCCACTCCACACACACCCCATCCCAAGGCAGCCACTCATCTTTGTCACTAGAGCTCCACATTCTGTACTTTCATATAATCAAGTGACATAATACTGTATTTTGTAGTTTTTTTAAACTGACCATGTTTTCAAGGTTCACCCATGCCATGGCATGTACCTGTACCTCACTTTTTATTGCCAAATAATTTCCCATTCTGTGGATATGACACTTTGTTATCCATTCATTAGTTAATGGACATTTAGATTGTTTCCAATCCACTCTTCAGCTATTATAAATATGCTTAATGAACATTCATGCCCAATTCTCTATATTGACATGTTTTCAACTCTCCATTGTATACCCAGAAGCCACCGGGCCATTATGTGCTTTTGAAGACCTGCCAGGATGTTTTCAAAGCAGCACAGCAACAGTTTTGAACCTTTGATGCTGATGTGTCAAAGTGGTGATCAGAATTCAAGCAGATGACAGCAGAGGGAAGACAGGTCTCAAAGTGAAACCCTTGGGAAATCCTCCTCTTTTATTTGTGAGGGCTTCAAGTTCCTGAGGTGTCACGTGGAATGTGTCACAGCAAGTTGATGTGATGAATGTGAAAATACCTTGACATAAGAAAGTGACATTTTTTCCTAATTTCATAAATATCCACTTGTATTGTTTTAGTAATCTTAGCTTCATACAAAAGGTAATATACACTGTGCTGTAAGTCAGAAAGGGCTTGACTCTGTAGAAGCTGGGCCTTTACATGGAGCTTGCTGAGAAGCTTGGACCAAGATATCCATCTGTCCTTACTGGAAAAAGCTCAGGGAAAAAAACGAACATTCACATCAGGGCTAGTAAAATGCTAATACTTCTGATCAAAAGTGCTTAGTGGGACTCCCTGTTGGCACAGGGTGTCTCAGCACTGTGAAGCTATCCCCAGCCAGAGAGCTAACTCACATGGTGCAGGAGACTTCTCCTGTCCTGCCCACTGCTGTCCTCAGCAATGTACTTCGTCGATCTACCTGTTCTGCTCCCCACTGTCTCTGGTGAATCCTCTCACCCCCTGCACTTCTACGGTGCTAGCCTGCACCCTAGCTCTTGTATGTATAAATATTTTTTGTAAAGTGAGTTGTGGGGCCCTCCCTAGTGGTGCAGGGAGTTAAAGCACAGCACTAAGAAGCTAAAACCACTTCAGCATGAGTTCGATCCCTGCCCCGGAGGTGATCCACATGGCACAGCAGACCTCTCCTGACCCAACCTCTGCTCCCCTCAGCAGTGTATTTCAGTACATCTGCCTGTTCCTCAGTCTGGTGAATCCTCTTACCCCACCAGCACCTCTGATCTGTGTGTGCCCCAGTTCTGTAAGCATAGATAAACCTTAAGATATTTTTAAGTCACCAATATATTTAGGATAAACTACAAAGCAAAAAATATACATATATACATCTTTAAAAATCTTTTGCAATTCACCAATTTTCTACAATGATTACATTTTCTCGTAGCCACAGAAGTAACACAAGTCAAAAAAAAATTAGAAAAACAAAGGTCAAAAAAGCAATGGTCTGCACATTTGTGTCTTCCACTTAGTGTCTCCATTGCCTAGCTACCATATCTTTGACAGGCCACCAAGCAGGATAATAGTAATCCCGCCCCACTCTCTGTATAAAATGGGGATTAAAGCGAGGGTTCCTCTGAAATTATTTCAGGGTCGTTGTGCCAAATTTATTTCCTGTTCTTTGCTTTCCTTCAGTGAGGGTCCTTTGAAACTGTATTTCCAGACTGTTTTCAGTTTGAGGTAAAGGTTAAAGCTGCTGACAGAGGCAGGCACAGCCCAAGCACGCAGGTGCGCTCCTTGGCCAGTTTTGTTAAACAAGCTGCATTCGCATCTTGTACTCTGTGGGGTGGGACTACAGTGGGCATGAAAGGCTCACACAACCCTCACTGGCAGCATGCCTACTGCTTCCTTACTACGCCCACCTACCTGGTGGGCTCTAGGGGTCACTGGCCAGGCACTGTAAAGCAGTTAAAGAGAACCACAGGCTACCCTTCCAGTCCATTGTTCTTCCTCTTGGGAATCTGAAAATTAACTTCTGGGTGTAAACGAATGAAGCCTTGAGGTTTATTGATTATACTTAACAATTTGGTAAAGTGTATCAGGTTCTGAAAAAAAATTCACTGTAGTCTTTTTTTTTCCCGATTGCAGTCTTTTTTAACACAGATCATGGATCTTTGTCTCAGTAGTTGCGTGGGTTTTGGAGTTAAATAGCTGCTTACTAAAGCAATAAGCCCAATCCACTGACCGTGCTCCCAAAACCACACCTGTGTGAGTAAAACAATCTTGCAGCCTTCCTGAAAGCAAACCAAGCACCTTGGTCTTTTAAATTCCCTGAACATGAAGAATAATCTGGCTTCTCTTCAATTGTCAGGGTGAGCAAAAAGTTTGTCAGCACAAGGTCTGAAAACGGGGACATAGCCCAAAAGGCTGAAGAACCTTTACTGACTTCTGGTGTCCCTGGCAGGTCCAGCTGGTACATCCACAAAGCAAGGCCAGCATGCTGTCACTGAAACACAGCTGAAATGCATGAACACAGAACTCCAACGAAGGCAGATGGTTGTGGGTAAATGTTAATTAATATTAAATGACACCAGATGATCACAAGTTAACTGATATAAGGGACAGAATAAGAGAGAGGAAAAAAAAAAAAAAAAACAAGGGCAGTAACTATAAAGCCCAAGTTTCTTGTCTGGGGATTCGACATCATTTCCTGCAGTAAGAACATGTCTAAGAAAGGATTACTGCAGCGACAGGGTGAAGCAGTGTGTTGTCAGTCTCAGCTCCTGTTTGGACAAACGTGAACCAGAGGGACTGAAACCAGCCGTTGGCTCCAATCCCGTCTTCTCCATGTCTTCATTCACCTGCATCGGTTCTGTAGGTTGAGTACCAATGTGGATTTCTCCACTTCTCTCCCACACCTCTCTCCTGCAAAAAGCTCCTCCACAGTCAAACTCAAGTATCCCCTTTAACCGCAATATCTACCAAATTCCAAACTTCCTAATCTCTAAATTCAGCACTTCTAAATCTAACAATCCATATCTTGCCAGAATAAAATTCTATTCAAATGGGTGACATTGCCATCCTCATTAATGTCTGACAGATTTCTGCTTTTGTTACAATTATTCGCCACCCAAAATGACCTTCTCCTTGTCCTGTGCTCATCTAAATCCTATCTCTGTCCTGAATCAAATTATACTTCCTAAATACTTATACAACAATTAATATTGCTATTATCTTATCTTGTGTATAATCTTTAATTTAATTCATAGTACGTTCCTATCACAGAAAAGCAGATTGTCAGTTTCTTAAAAAACTACACATAAGGATTTCCCTGGTGGCACAGGGGTTAAAGATACAGTGCTATCAAGCTAGCAGAGGCCACTGAAGCACGATTTTGATTCCTAGCCAGTGAGCTAGCCTACATGTGCAACAGACCTCTCCTGTCTCACTTGCTGCTCCCCTCAGCAGTGTATTTCAGTCAATCTGCCTGCGTCCCACTCTGTCTCTGGGGAATCCTCTACCTCCTGCACCTGTGGCCTGTACTGCAATTCTTGTATGCATAAATAAATAAATCTTTTTTTAAAAAGCCTCCTACGAAGCCTTTCTTGTATAAGTCAAATTTGAGACAAATCTTATCATGTATTTATGGGGTTCTCTTTTTATTCTATATAAAACTTTAAGAAAGCATCTACTAATTCAGATCATTTTCTAAAACTGAAAAAGTAATTCTGGTGTGATAAAACCAGAGTCAAGGGTTACTGAACATATTCCGTTAAAATACCTTTAATTACCCAGTCAAGATAGATCACACACGTTACCTGCACTTACAGTAAGGAATTCTGAGTGATTCCTATTTCTGGATTGTTGTTAACTATCACATACCAGTATGTGCTATAACCCCAGTCTTCATCAGCCTCAATTTATTTTCCATTTACAGAACAATACTCATGGCAGCAGACTAAATTACAAGTAAACCAAAAATTTTTTAAAAAATTTTATTGCTTTACAAGCCAGCAACACAAATTAAAATATTGTTAAGTATGACACTTATAAATTCTCACATGGAGTTATGAGACCCAAACGTGCTCCACTTAAAATGCAATTGTTGAAACTGAAATTCACAATTCCTGCCAAGAATTTTAATGTTCTACAGCAGATCAATACTTAGAAGCAAAGAAAACTACCACCAAACTTACTGCATAGTCTAATCACATAGTAATCACATTTACCTAGGCAGTACTACTACTGCTCACTTTAGATGACTGTCCTAGCTACTTTGAAGACCCTCACACATATTTTCTGTCTACAAACTCTTCTGCAGAAAGAGCTGCCAAGAAATTTATTCTAAAATCCAATGTCTCAATTCTATGTCCTTCTTCTTGATCGAAAAGATAAGTCTGTCCTTAATTGAGCCTAATAACAGTTCTTGTGGCAATGTCAAATATCCCTCCATGCAAATAGGAAGCCCAAACTAGTACAAGGTGTGAAAAGGTGATACTGCAAAATAATTCTGATTATATTGGAAATGTTAGCACCTTCTATTCCGCTATCTCCAGAGCACTTGACTAAGTCACCATTTTAATAAATTCAGTTCAATAGTACTTCCTGAAAATGGAAAGAGGGAAGAGTGTCAACAGATTAACATGACTTAAACCAAAATTATAAATCTAAAACTCAACTGTTAGGATAGCCATCAACAGTTTTAGAAATTGCATATTCTTAAAAACAAACACAAAAACCCACCAAATCAGCTGATTTTTCTTAACCCCAAACTGTATCTTTCCTCCAGACAAAGCACAGCATTTTTTCATGAAGAACATACTAGTCAGGATATTGCTAATTAACTCGACTGGGTTGCTTTATATTCCCAGACCAAACGGTCTAGCCAGCTGCTAGGAAAAAGCTTTCATAGCTTAGAATATCAAGATGTGCGTGAAGACAATTTTTAATTGCTGCAGTTGCAGAAAGTTAAGGCAACATCAGATAACAGAGGTGTTTTAAAACAGTAAGCCCCACTTCCCACCTTGTAAATAGAGCCAAGTAAGATAATACTAAACCCCCTACTACAAAATCTCCCCCAAAATAATATGTCGAATGTGACTTTGCAGTTTAATTTTTTATATTTTGGTGGCAGTGAGAGAGAATCCTAGGGTTATAACTTCCTTGTAAAATATTTCAACATCTGATTTACTCACAAGACAAAATTAGGAAGGAAAATAAGAAATAAGTAGTCCTTTGCTTGGCAACCATCCCTTGTATTTTTATACTGTAATCAGGTTATACCTGGATATGGTGGCTAATTCGGATATACAAAACATCAAGGATAGCTCTGGAAGAATCACAAACAAGACAATAAACTCCCACTCAACATATCAACAGCATCAGGGTAAGCATGAAAAAGACTTTACCGAGAGATTGACATTTACACTTTTGACAGAACTGAAATACATTAAAATACAGAACAAATTCACTGAACAAAAGAAAATCTGTCCTTGTAAACACTATTCTTTTGCCCTCCCCAAGTGTTTCAATTCTGATACTTACACCACACAACAGGTTAAGAAAATAAAGCGCGCGGTGTTTAGCAATGGGCGTCCTAACTACCGTGAGAGGCACTGTGCTCACACTCACTGGCAACCCCTGGGGGCAGCAACGCCAGGTACAGGGAAAGCCTATTTCTCTACGCAAGCTGCTGCTGTCTCCTTATTGAAGCCCCGGATGGACAGATCATAGACCACCTCCTCTACTTTCTTCACGTCATACTTCAAGCCATCATAGCGCTTCCTCAGAGAGTCGTTTTTCAAGTTGAGAAGGCGGAAACCAGAATCCAGCTCATTGATGAAGGTGGAGATGTGAAGGGGCCGAGAGTAGTCTCCAGCAGTCACACTGTTGACAGACAGCCTAGACTACACAGGAAAAAGAACAGAGCTCCTCTTTAGCATGTCTTCCTCCAAATTATGACTTTTCCATAAAGTCCTTCATAATTACACTTTGACAACTGCTTAGTATTACTTGACTTACTTAATAACTGAAGTAATCACTCCCGCTATTTTGGAATTTCTGTGATCTACAATTTTTTCAAAAATAACAGTGATACTACAGTAAACACCTTTATAACAACTTTTTTTCAACTTTATATTTATTTCTACAGGGCAATTTCACAGGTGACAAATTATGGGACAGAGGTTAAGAACAACTTATACAGTTATGTAGTTAAACTGTTCTCCAACAATTATATTAATTAGCAGTTACTCAGAACATGATGTTGAAGAAAGGGATTTTACCATCTTTAAAAATGTACATTAAGGCCCTCCCTGGTGGCGCAGCGGGTTAAAGCACAGCACTAAGAAGCTAAAGCCACTTCAGCATGAGTTTGATCCCCGCCCAGTGAGGTGATCCACATGGCACAGCAGACCTCTCCTGACCTGCCCGCTGCTCCCATCAGCAGTGTACTTCATCAATTGGCCTGTTCTGCTACCTACTCTATCTCTGGTGAATCCTCTCACTGCCCCTGCACCGCTGGCTTGTACCCCAGTTCTGTATACATAAATAAATCTTTAAAAAAAAATGTACATTAAGGGCCCTCCGAGTTGGCGCAATGGGTAAGGACGCAACGCAGCACTGCAGGCTGGCTGCAGCCGCTTCAGTGCAGGTTCGATCCCCAGCCCCAGAGGTGATCCACATGGCATGGCAGACCTCTCCTGGCCCACTGCTCCCCTCAGCAATGTACTTCATTGACCTGCCTGTTCTGCTTCCCACTGTCTCTGGTGAATCCTCTCACTGCCTCTGTACCTCTGACTGTATCCCAACTTTGTATTCATAAATGAATAAATAAATCTTTTTTAAAAAATGTACATAAATCTCAGCACTATAAGCTATCAGCAGCCACTACAGCATGAGTTCAATCCCCAGCCAGGGAACTAATCCACACAGCATAGACCTCTCCTGTCTCACCTACTGCTCCCCTCAGCAGTGTATATTTCAGTAGATCTGCCTGTTCTGCTACCCACTCTCTTTCTGGTAAATCCTCTTCACCCCCCAACACCTCTGGCCTACACCCTTACTCTCGTAAGCACAAATAAAATAAAGTCTTAAAAATAAATAAAAAATTACATTCCGTACACATCATCTGCACTGTCATTATTCTGATAGCCAACAAAACATGCCCACATACAGTTCAGTCATTAACTATGTGGAGACTTAGAAATGACTTAGAAAAGAACAGCACCCTAGAATGTTAACATGCATCTGAAAAACTGATAGTGATCAGAAAAAAAAGCAAAGAGCAGATAACTGAGCTTCTTACCAATTCACTAGCAAGAATTAGAACTCCTGAGAGATAATCTTCAACATCCAAATGAAATCCTTTCTCCCGATCTGGCTCAACTGAAATATACATCAGTGTAAAAATAAGGTTATGGTATGAATGCAATTTAAGCCTAAAAATATAAAGCTTTATACACACAAGTAAAATTTCCCTCACAATTGAAAGAAGATAAATCTTTTAAAACCGTGTTAATGTACTGCCATATCTTTCATAATAACAAGTCACTGTGAATTTTTTTGGCTCCTAACAAAGTTCAATTTTTCCGGCTCCTAACAAAGTTCAATTTTTCTTTCCATTCTTTTCTCAAAAAGCAATACCATCAAGAAAGGTACCTAGTTTTGTCAGAGATTATCTTTGTTTTTAGAATATGCATGCTGAAGCATTTAAGAGAAAAACCATACTATCTGAAAATGACTTTCAAATGGTTCACATTGTATGGAACACATACCAAGATGAAGCCGAGGTCATACATTATTGAGTGCTGAATAAAAGTAGGGTATAAACTTGTTTACTGTGTCTGTGAACTTTTCTATCATCTTAAAACTGTATTTCAATATCTTGTTTATCTTAATTATGCTCACTGAGGTAACACTGGGTAATAACTAACTTAAAATTTAAAAGAATAAAGCATACCCAAAGTGAAGCTGTACTCCCAAAACATATTTTACACCACAATTTACTCATAAAAACTTTTTCATGAATGTACAAATTGAGTTTAAAAAAAAAAAAAAGAAACTCAAGCACAAAGAGCAAGCAAAGCACATTTTAATTTTTGTACTTTCAACTGATTTTCCCTTTAGTTCCACTTTATTTTAATAAGCAGAAAATACTAGCATTAGTCCTCCCACCAAAAGTTAAGCTCCTATGCCCGATTCTGCTAATCAACAGCAATGAAGACACTCACTGCCAAGAATTTCTGTAACTGCTTCTCGTGTCACTAGTGTTTCTGATTCCAAGTACACAACAAATGCTGCCAAGAAGACCAAGCGCTGCAACACAAATCTCCAGTGCTCATGAAATCTGCAGGGAAAGAAGAACGCTAGGGTGAGGGGTTAGTGGCTCTAAGAAAGAAAAGCTGACTACAGTCACGTTCAAACATTTTGGAAATGGAATCCTTTTTCAAACAAAATCTTACATGAAACCACTACAAGACAAATAAGAATATATCTAAATACATTAGATAGATGTAGTATACATTTTGCAAGTTCAGATGCATAACATTTACTTTAAAAAGTATTAGCAATTCTGATAACTACAAAAACTTAGAAGCAAAGATTATTAAGACAGATAAAAGCAATTGATAAGAGCAATCGTGCTTCAGAATTTAGCTGACAAAACCAATGAGAAATAATTCTGAGGAAAAATACTTTGAGGAGAATTAAAATTTACACAGATGAGAACTTAAATTAAAACTTTGAATTAAAATTAAAACTTAGACTGAGAACTGTCACTGCACATCACCCTCAATATAACATCCCTGCATTTAGAATTGAGTGCAGGATACCCAGAAACTTTATTCATACATGTAAACAACAACCGCCAGTCACCAAACTCATGGACTAAAAACCTCAGAACACTGCAATTAAACTGAGCTAGAAGTCTAAAAAAAAAAAAAGAAGTTTTACAACCTCTGTTTATACTATGCCTGTTTTCAAATTATGTCAACAAATTTAAAAAAAGTCTGAACACAATGCAGGTGAAACAAAATCTGAGGATTAAATCAGCCAGAAGGCAGCCAAGACGTGATCAGCAAGCTACATGGCTCTGAAGACCCTGCCGCATATGGTATCAGTTCTCTACACTTCAGTTACTACTGTACTAGCGATCAGCAAACCTTTTCCAAAAAGGGCCAAATAGGAAACGTTTTAGTCTTTGCAGGTCACTTTCAGTCTTTGTCATATGTTCTTAAACATGGATATTTCTCTTCTTTTAACCCTTAAATTTTTTCTTGTAAAGTTATACTGTCCAATTCCCCATATACATATCTGATCCATTACTGCTCCATCTTTATCTTAAAAGAACACTTTTTAAAAACAGAAAGTAAAAGTCAAAAAATTCTACATTTTTATTTATTCCTCAATACTCAGGCACAGTTATTCCCAGTTTAACATTTGTGAAGATAATAATCATTTTATAATTACATCTCATAATTAAGACTGGCAATTTTTCTTGCCTATTATATATTAAAAAATGATGTTTATTAACATTAAGGGTGATTCAATGAGATAGGACATCAGCTTTTTTTTTTTTTTACCAATCCTTTTTTAATTTTACAATGTCACAAGGAACTGGGACATACTCAAAAGATTTTCTGCATTTTGACCTTTACACAGCAGATATTTCCTTCGTTACTTTTTCAATGCAAAAATTACACTTGTTACTTAAGAAAATTTTGAAAAGCAGTAAGAAAAAAATTACCAATTATGTCACCACCGAATTACCTACCTACATTAAAAGTTTTGATTCTGGGCCTTCCCCTGGTGGCACAACTGGTTACAAGTGCAGCACTATAAAGCTACCCACAGCCACTGCAGCACAGGTTCAATCCCTGGCCATCAAGGTGACCCACGTGATGTGCAGACCTCTCCTGTCCGCTCAGCAGTGTAATTTGTAGATCCACCTGTTCTGCTCCCCACTGTCTCTGGTGAATCCTCTCACTCTCCGCCCCCACACCTTTGGCCTGTACCCCAGTTCTGTATGTATAAATAAACAAAAATTTTTTAAAGTTTGATTCTTTTCCTTTTTGTTTTGTCTTCTACATAATTTTTTAACCTAGTTTTAGCTAAGAAATCATTCAACACAAATCATTTTTCTCCTTTTTAAGTTAACATTATAAAATAATGCTTCTTTTCTTACAAACCTGTAATACTGTTCAGCAGGGAATTTGGTCTTCAAAGATGTTAGATGTGTTTTTACTGTACCAAAATGTTCTCGAGCTTTCAAACACCTCTTTGGAACTGAGCACAAAAAGAGAATCAAATGTAATCATGAAAGACAATTTTCAAATACAATTCTTCCTTAATAACGTATGCAGTATACCTGAAATATATCAACTTAAAATAAAAATCTCATGAGCAAATATGGGAACACAATTCTTCAACATGGCTTTCAAAATATGGTCTCTAATATTTCTATTAACCAACACTGAAAAATAAACTAGCTTGCTTAAAAGAAAAAATGTTAGAAAACATGTCATAAGCTGTCATAAATAACCTAAACATAAGGGGGGCTGGGTACCCAATATTATTCTGATTCTATCTTCAAAAAATGTCTAAAATCGGGGACCTCCCTGGTGGCACAGTGCGCTGGAGTGCAGCACTGCAAAGCTGGCCATGGCCGCCTCAGAGCGACTTCCATCTCCCCCGCGCTGGAGGTGATCCACAGGCACAGCAGACCTCTACTGACCACACACTGCTCCCCTCAGCAGTGCACTTCGTCAATCTGCCTGCTCTGCTCCCCTCTCTGTCTCTAGAAATTCTCTCACAGCTCCTGCACCTCTGGCCTGTACCCCAGTTCTGCATGAATAAATAAAGAAAATCTTTTAAAAAAAAAATGCCTAAAAATGGACTGCTTCTAGCTTCCATCTTTGGTGAGAAAGAGGCTTTACCAATTATTCTCAATCAGGCCAACAACTCCATATTGAAAAAATAAATGACTTGCATTTGACATCTCTTAATTATTAGATCAGTTTTTACCCAAAAATAACTTTCAACTCTTTTTCATTGTATTGCCTCTATCTCACATCTTGAATGAAGGGCGAATGTCTGAATTTATCCTATTTGATCTCCATTCAAGAGACAGACTATAAACATACTTAGAACACTTTAACCTAGACATTTGTATGTATAAGTGCAAACTGAGCCAGATTGACTCAATGAAAGACTGGCAACACTTTAACAAAGCCTTTTGTAGCCTTTTGTATCTATAAATACAAACTAAATTAGACTCCTTCAGTGAAAAGATGGATTTAAAAAGAACCTAATAAAAGTTGCTAGTTACACAAATTATTAAACTACTGCATTATCATCAGTAAAATTCCATAGAAAATAATTCTACTTAAATTACACTATCTGAAAGTAGAAAAATCAACCAAAAGTTACATAATACTATAAAACAATACAATGATCAACTGGTCTGCATCTCCAATTTTTACTCACCATAAAGCATGAGACATTTTTTCATAATAAAATGATACATTTGGGCCCTCCCTGGTGGCCCAAAGGGTTAAAGCACAACCCTATGACGCTATCAGCAGCTACTTCAGCATGAATCCAATCCCTGGCCAGATGTGGCAGACCTCTCCTGACCAGCCTGATGCTCCCCTCAGCAGTGTAACTCAGTCCCTCTGCCTGTTCTGCTCTCCACTCTGTCTCTGGTGAATTCCCTCACCCACCTGCACCTCCAGCTTGTACCCCAGTTCTATATGCATAAATAATCTTTAAAAAATAAATAAAATAAAATAAAAATGAGAAATCATTAAGTCAGATAAAAACTTCAAAATTAAAACAAAGAACTTACTGTCTTGAAATCCAGCACCCTGATGGACTCCTTGGAGTAAAGTTAAAATCTCTCGAGCTGTTTGTTCTAAACTCTGAACAACTTTTCGAATTTCCTAAAATGAAAGTACCAGACACATTCAACCTAGTTATTATCATAGACACATTCAACCTAGTTATTATCATAGCTCTGAATCAAATATACTTGATAGCACAATTAACCTACGACACCTAGGTTCAAAACACTAACAGTCTTTACAGAGATTGAATTGATACACAACATATCCAGGTCTGCTCTGTCTCCCCTGTTGCTCACCTCAGCACTGTATTTGGTTCAATCACCAGTTCTGTTCCCCACTCAATCTAGGCTGAATCCTCTTACCCCCTGTACCTCTGGCCTGTACCCAGTTCTTGGATGCAGAGATAAATATATACAGGTCTGAATCCTGACTTTCCTACTTACTTCCTGTGAGAGACCTTCAGGAAGGCACTAAATAAAAAACGTTAAGACTTCTCTTTCCAGTACCCTTTAAAGAATAAAGGCCACTCATTCACCCTTCAATCCAACGGCATAAAAACTCAAGATGAAGTATCTGAATATAATGTATAAATTTAAAAATTAAATGCATTTTTTCATTCATTCCTTTAACAATGCACATTTATGTGCTTAAACATTGTTTAAATACTGGCCACCCAGCAGACAGTACTTTCCTTCTTGCAATTTTGAGTCAATGGAGGACAGACCTCTACAAAATCCTGACAGTACATAGTTCTTTTAAATGTTAATGTCCTACTAGAAAACATTTAGACTGTTAGGTCAGGGAGATGTATAAAGAGAGAAAAAACAGCATTTCAGGAAAAGCCAAACAATATACTCAAAATTCCCGAGTCAGGAAACTATCTGGGCAACTGGAGACGCGAATGGAAGGCAAAGTGAACTTCATATACAACAGAAAATAACGTAAAGTGACGCTGGAAAGCGACAAAGAGACGCTGGAAAGCGACAAAGAGATCAGACGTCAAGTCTGAAAATTTTAATCCTTTTTAGAATGAAATACCATGAGAGGTCGCACGTGCTTTTAAGACACCAACAATACACGAAAGGCGCATGGGTTGAGTCCCAAGTGCTAATCCAGACTTCGACAGCAACAAAAACTGAAGACTGGCAAGCAAAGGCAAGTAGGTATTGCCAAGGAGCATAACCCAAATACAGGGACTCAGTCACGGCAGCAAACTCGGGAGCAGAGAGAGGAAGCCCCTAAACTGAATCCAGCAGGAAACAATTCACCCCCGCAGGCCCCCATTGCTAGAGCCAGAACCTCCAAAAGGGCCCGGGGAGGTGGCCCAGCTAGGAAAGGAAAAGGCAAGGGGGCGGGGAGAGGAGAGGCTTGCCTCTCGGATGTCCTGCTCGGCAGCCAGAAAGCCCTGCAGCTCCACGAAGATCTCGCTCACAGACATGGCGCCGGCTTCACAGCAATCCGAGCGAGCGATGAGGGCTGCCAGCGAAGTGCGCTCCAGCGACAGACAGCGTAGTCGATCGCAACGCCCGCCACCGCCGCCTTGTCCACCGGGTCCTTCGCTATGGCCGTCGCTGGGGTCCTCCGATGTCCGTGGCGCGCAGCAAACCGGCCTGTCCGCCGCACTGCCTAAGGTGCTGCCCGCAGCTTCCCACGCTGAGGCGCGCGCCTGAGGGGCGGGGCCTTGTGTGGAGCTTTTTGGACAGGCATCGCCCGAGACAGTCTGTGCAGGGGCCCTAGGAGCACGTGGGTGAAGAGGCCGGGGCGAGCTAGGAGTTTGCGCGACTTGGCGCGGCTATTATGATGTGTTTTATACAACGGCAACGCGCGGCTGAGTGAGGCGTGGGGCAATGCTTCTTTACCAACTACGCTTTAATAGCTGGATGCATTTGTAGGAGGCTGTGGAGAGAATCCAGTCTTTGTGTAAAGATGGGGGGGGGGCGCCAAGCCGTTTGTATTTGCAAAAGATAAACGGTAAAAGTATGAGATTGTGAATGGAATAAAAATTTTTGTACCCTTTTTGTTACTTTTTTTAATTAAGTTAAATTTTAAGGGTGTACTACTGTGAGAAGTTTTTAATCTCCATTCAGCTTCTTAAGCTCTTTCTTGAAGCAAGCGCTATAGCTATTGCTTGCTCCTTATATCCACCTTTATAAATACCTGTGTGTGCGCGCGCAAAGGATGCGCCTCCCAAATGATATTAAAGGATTGTGTACATCATCTCAGTGACAATGTCTGGGTTGTGCTGGACATAACTCTAAAACTTTACGGGAAAGAATTATTTTCGCTGAATTTGATGTATTGTTAGCCTACAAGTGAAGTGACTGTGGTCAGAGATTAACTTGCCTAAATTCATTTGCAGCTAGTAGATGTTAAAGCTAGGAACCAAAAGTTGTCTTAATCACGGTGTTATCACCAGCTTTCTACCAGGTGTAAGGTAGAGTTGCAGGGTGCTTGAAATACTTCACCTAAATGAACCCTTAAAACCCAGTGATGTGACTGACTAGAAAAACTGTTTTTAGCAACTTAATCAAACACAAGATTTTGTTTGTTTTGGGAGGTTTTGGTGGCTGTTTCTGTTTTCTGTTTGTGGCCTGTGTATATGACATTTGCTATGTTGTGGTCCAAATACAAAAAGAAAAAAATCATAATTCATTAAAAAAGGATGAAATAGGGGAAATGCTCATTTTTTAAAATTTTATAAGTTTATTTTTACACATTTTTGTCCATTTTTCTATCTCAGTTGCAATCCCCTTGGGTTTCTCATCACCAAATCACCCATGTGCCATCACCATAGTCCAGTGCAGAGAAATGCTCATTTTTTTTTTTTTTATAAGTTTATTTTTACATCATTTTTTACATTTTTTTTTTCATCTCAATTGTAATCCCCACGGGTTTCCCATCACCAAATCACCCCTGTGCCACCACCATAGTCCCGTGCATTTCCCTCCCTTCCCCCCCCCCCCCTTTTTGATCCCATTCCCCACTCCACCCCCACAGAATGTCTCTGGTCTATGGTTGTTCATTATTTTTGTTATTTTCTCGCCTGGTCCATTATATTCCTGCTATGAGTGAAACCATCCGGTATTTTTCTTTCTCTTTCTGGCTTATCTCACTAAGCATGATCTTTTCCAGCTCCATCCAAGTTGCTGAGAAATGCTCATTTTTAAAGAGACATTGTACCCAGCAAACATGTTCTTAATACAATTTTTTTTATTAAATGACTTCATACCAACCCAAACTTTTCTTTCAAGTCCTGCATGCCTCCTATACTAAATCAAAATAATTCCTGCTTTCTGTTCTTTTGAGTATGTTACCTGAAAGTTTATGAGATTAGTATTTCATGGAGCAAACTTTGACCACGGAACAGCAGGATACAGTTGGGAATGCATAGATAAATCCCTTGCCCTGTCAGTCCTAAGAAATAGCTTTGTGAAAGGGGGCATGTGGCTCCTTATTCAGGGATGAGGTTCCGCCTTCACTTTGTATGCCCATGGCAATTGCAGAGGCACATGTAAACCATTAGAGAGAAACTACTCAGTTTTCTATTTGGAGAATAAGTTGCAGTGGCAAGAGTCGGTGGGGGATACATCAGTTTATTATTGCTGCACTTCCAGGGAGAAATGGTAGTGACTTTAACAAGGGTGGAGATAATGGATTATTGTAGATGCTCTTGAAGACCTGTGCCTGACCAATTTTTATGTTAGTGGAAGCCATGAGTAGAGAGATGTGAAGAATAGGTTCCCCACTACCACCAAGGTATCCAGAACAGCTTCTGAAAATTTGTTACTTTGGCATATGGATTATTTCAAGTTAATGTCAGTTGTACCCTGCAGGCTCAAGAGACACTTTCCAGCACTCCCTTAAATACATAGAAGCATGAAAATTAGTGGTGTTATCTCCACAGATTTAGGATTATCTCCAGAAATACTGTTTCTATCAGAAAAACCTATCTGTATGGCAGGGTCTCTTTTAAGTCCCAGGTCCTATTCTATTGCTTAGCTCAGGACAAATAACCTTATTTTAGCCTTTGCCATCTTTCATGTCCTAAGGACACTGCTTGCACTATAGTTACCATTTACTTGATTGGCTTCTAAGCCTTCACATGTCCTTTCTCAGTTCAAATGCCCCCACCTCCAGGAAGCCCTTCTTGGTTGTGCCTCTACTGTACAGGGCTTTTTCTGTTTTCTCTCTTTCTTTAGGGATTTAGTTATTTATGTATACAAGAACTGGGTGGGGGAAGTGAAGGATTCACCAGAGACAGTGGGGAACAGACCGGGTGATGGCACTGGAATACATTACTGAGGGGAGCAGTGGAGGAGACATCAGCTGTGCTATTTGGATTAGCTCCCTGGCTGGGGATCAAACTACTGGTGGTAGTTTGATAGCGTTGAGACTGTAACCCTTGCCACCAGGGAGACCCATTTTTCTTTTCTCATAGCGCAAATTCCATTACACCTGTCCTTTATCCAGGCCTCCTTACTCCTTACTCTAGTTCTCCAGGAGCAGCAGCACAGGGAAACTCAGTAAGGACTCTAAACAACAAATAAAAAGAGGGGGGAAAAGAATTGAATGGGTAGCAAGACTTCAGGACCTCACTTTATTATTTTTAACATTTTCCTCCTGAAATTACAGTAACGTGAACAAGTTACTCTCTGCTATTTTAGACAAGAGGCTGATGGGAAAGCAAGGCAGCAGAGGGCCCTACCAACAGGTGGCGCCGGAGCTCTGGTCTACCCTACCCGGGTCCTCCGCCTCCTCGGCCCAAGCCCCGCCCCCACGCCGCGCCGCGCCTCTTGCCCCGCCCCCGAGCATCTAACGTTCTGGCCCTGGCCGCGCTCCCGCCACGCACTGTGATCCTTACTTAACTTCCGCTTTCGAGTAGCTGAAGCCTCTGCACTTCCGGGCGGTCCGCGTGGAGTTCGTCAGCCTAATAGCTGCAGGCATGGCGGCCTTTACTGGCCCTGCCAAGCCTCTCCTGTCCCTGAATCCGCAGCAGGATGCCAAGTTTCAGAAGGAGGTGGCACAAGTCCGAAAGCGCCGGCGCGCCGCCCAGGTGAGTGAATCCGGATTGGGGTTGGGGGCACCGGGGCCGCGCGGAGTCCCCCTCGCGCCTCTACTTACTCCCTGCGGGGTCTCCCAGGGTGGCTCCCGACTCACGAACTTGCAAGCTGAGGCTTCCCGGCCTCGAGGTTTATGCTGGTGGAGGATGATGGGCTTTGGCCGTTTAGGGCTCGGGGTCCTCGTGTGGCGAAAATGTGGTTATGAAAAAGGTGTGAAGGGTCCTCTCAGACCCCAGATTTACCCCAGATTAGAGCTGTCCCGCTTCTCTTTCACCCACAAACTCGGGGGATTTGCCGGGTGGTGCTTTTGGAGTTCTTAAGATAGCATTTTATGTTCCACTTGACGCCTGTATGCCTTGGTCTTTAAATCTTTAAAGGTTCTTGTTGAAGAAGGCAAGGACGTGAGGATTGAGACAACTGAAAGATGGCTGGTACTGAGGAAGGTTAACGTCTCGAAATTGTTAGGTTATTTAGGTGCTAGTAAAGGGGGATCAGCATACAGAATTGCTGGGTAAGGTTATGGCGAGTAGTGTAGTTACTGACCAATCATCTTGCGGGGATATAGCCTGAGAAGACAATCTACTGCCCGACCTTTGCCCTCCTGGGAGTTAGGGATTCCACAGTCACTTTTTTAGTGAACTGTGCTAAGTGGAAATACGGATTATGTTCTTGACCTCTTGTCTCGAGCTGACAGAATTTGCAAATCTTCTTGCAATGTGGTTATTTTTTTAAATATAATAGTTTATTCTTCTTGCAATGTGGTTATTTTTTTAAATATAATAGTTTATTTTCACATCGTTTTGCGCCTTTTTCCATCTCAGTTGTAATCCCAGTGGGTTTCCCATCACCGAATCACCCCTGTGCCTCTGGCTTATTTCACTAAGCATGATCCCTTCCAGCACCATCCATGTTGCTGCAAAAGGCATGTGTTTATCTTTTTCGATTGCTGAGTAATAGCCCATTGTGTATATTTACCACATCTTTTTAATTCAGTCATCTACTTTTAGGCATTTGGGTTGATTCCATTTCTTTCCTTCAATGTGGTTATTTTTAATTAAGAAAATTCACCTGTGCTTCATGTCTCCAGCAACAGGAAAAGGAAAAATTGACTCCTGGAGTAATCTTTGTGGGTCACTTACCTCCAGCACTTTATGAGACCCAGCTCCAAGAATATTTCTCCCAGTTCGGCACTGTGACAAGATTCAAACTGTCCCGAAGTAAAAAGGTAAGGTTTGTGAATTGAATTAGGTTGCTATATATATTTTTTTAACTTAACAGTTATAGAGTATATTCATACATTATTGCTTTGCCCTCCCCTCCCCCCAGAAAGGGGGAAATTTAGGGGTTATAACCTTGAAACAGTCACAAGTATATAATGAGTAGCACTGTAAATTATTTGCTGTGTTTTTTTTTTTAATTGCTGATATCCTCAAATCGAAGTGCCAGTCTTGATAAATGACTCATCCTGTAACTACTAAGCCAAGTGTATGTGAACTTCAGTTTGAGAAGTAAATTCACGCATCTTATATTAGCTTCTGGTGTAGGCATCCTGACAATAGCAAAAGTTTCTGTGACAAATGAGGACACAGGAACTCAGGTTTGAGACTTGACTGTAGTGATTACTGGGTATTTGACTTTGCACAAATGACATAACCTCTCAGTGCTGTAGTTTTTTATTTGCAAAACAGCAAATGCCACATAGTAAATATTATATATGCTATATACTACCTACCTTTTTTTTTTTTAAGATTTATTTATTCATACATACAGAACTGGGGTACAGGCCAGAGGTGCAGGGTGGTGAGAGTATTCACCAGAGACAGAGCAGGGAGCAAAAGAGGCAGATCGACAAAGTACACTGCTGAGGGGAGCTGTGATTAGGTCAGGAGAGGTCTGTCGTGCCATGTGGTCACCTCTGGGGCAGGCGGGAATTGAACTCATGCTGCAGTGGCTTTAACTTCTTAGTGCTGTGCTTTAACCTGCTGTGCCACCAGGGAAGGCCTACTACCTACCTTTTAATAAACAAAAATCTGTGTCATTTATTTTGTAATGGAGGAGTGGTCTTTCATTTTCTTCTCAGGCTCATGCACTTCTATAAGTTGTAAAACACAGTCATTGCTGTAATCTGTTTTTTCCCAGTAAAACTTTTCCCCTTCCCCACTTAAGTTTTAATAGAGCAAAGTTAAATTTTACATTTGGCTTGGCATGTGAGGGAATAAGATATGCAGCCATCGTCTGCTTGTTATCAAACCCACCAGTATTATATTAAAGCAGTATTTCACCATTAAAGGGAATTTTAAATATAGCAGCCTTGGGTATTCTGTCTTAACCAAATAAAATTTTCTTTCTATTGTTCCCCCCTTTTTTTTCCATTTGCCTATTTGTATTGTTGCTTATTGTATGGGTAAAACATTTCAAAAATCCTGAAATCTACTAGAGTATGATTTAGTGACTGTTCAGGTATCTGCTACTCACTGTTATCAGTATCACCTTGGTGTCATAATTGCTTCATGTTTTTGTTCCTTAAGACATAAATGATAGGGTCCCTCATGGTGGCACAACAGGTTAAAGTACAGCATTACGAAGCTAGACGTAGCTGTTTCGTCATGAATTTGATCCACAGCCAGAGAGGTGACCCGCATGGCGCAGCAGACTTCTGTCTTGCCTGCTGCTCCCCACTCTGTCTCTGGTGAACAGTCTCACCCTTCCTGCACCTCTGGCCTGTACCCTAGTTCTGTATGCATAAGTAAATCTTTTTTAAAAAGGAAAGAAAGAAAGAATTGTCCTCCCTTGTGATGTAGGGTTTAAGTCTCAGCACTATCAAGCTATGCCAACCACTGTTCCAGGAGTTCAATCCTAGGCCAGGGAGCTAACCTACATGGCACAGTAGATGTGTCCTGTCGTGCCCACTGCTCCCCTCAGCAGTGTATCTCAGTATATCCACCTATTGCTCTCTACTCTCTCTGGTGAATCCTCTTACCCCCTGCACCTCTAGGCTATACCCCAGTTTTGTATGCATAAGTAATAAAAAATCTTTTTTCCATTGCAGACAGGAAATAGCAAAGGCTACGCCTTTGTGGAATTTGAATCTGAAGATGTTGCTAAAATAGTTGGAGAAACAATGAACAACTACCTTTTTGGTGAAAGACTCTTAAAATGTACGTACTGCTCTTTCCTATAGGGTTATACCGATACCTGTTGCTGATGGACAGCAGGGTATGAAGGACTGATTACTTAGTTACTGGGACACCCCATTTCATCTCAAGGATGAATTTCTGAAGGCACAGTACAAGGATTTAAGTGCATTTTCCTAAATGGAATTTATAAACCTTACAGGGAGAGAGCAATTTTTGTTCTGAGATGGAATTGGGACAAGTTACTTTAAGAGGGGCAGCTACTCCATCCTTAATGGTATGTGGAAGGATTCCCTGAGGAAGTTAAAAAAAAATTTTTTTTTTTAAGATTTTATTTATGCATACAGAACTGGGGTACAGGCCACAGGCGCAGGGGTGGCAAGAGGATTCACCAGAAACAACGGGTAGCAGAACAGGCAGATTGACGAAGTGCATTGCTGAGAGTAGCAGTAGAAGAGACAGGAGAGGTCTGCACCATGTAGATCACCTCCGGGGTGGGGATCAAACTTGCACTGAAGCAGCCACAGATTGGCTTAGCTTCACAGTGCAGCTCTCCAACCTGATGCACAACCAGGGAGGGCCCGGAAGTATTGATCAGGAGGTATAAAGTGACTTGACTCCTGATCAAGTACAAGCTTCTTCAAAAGCTTCGGATGGAAGAAGTTAAAGGTTAAATAGTGAGCCAAGTAAAGGGAACAGAAGTGAAGGTCGAAATCATTGCTGCTTGAGGGGAATAGCAACTGTATGACTAGGGGTTACTAACAGCATTTGCCAATGAAGGAACTGAGACTAGCAAAAGATGAGGCAACAGAAATTGAGAAAGTGCTGTTAAGAGTTCATTCTGCAGAAAAATAGAGCTGCCCGCTTTGTATTCCAAGGCCACCCCTACCAGGAACCCAGGGACCTCCAGAGATAGTATCAGGCCTTTCTGTGTCTGTGATAGATGTGACCATCCTGGGTGCTGAGTCAGCACATCTGTTCATGCAGCTGAGTTGTCCACAGAGATCGCTAGTTCTGTCCCTGTGAGAAAATCCCAGTAACTTCACTGCAGTCATGCGTTCATCCACACTTTAAAAACAGTTCTTGGCACAAAGGGTTAAGGCAACCACAATCCTTCATTTTTTTCAGAGATAAAAGTTAGAAAGGGAAAGAGGAGCATAAAAAGTAAGCAGTGCCTGTCTGCATTTCTAGTAGAGTAAAAGAGTAGGAGGTGGAAGAAAAACAAAGATGCTATTACGCTTGCACTGCAAGCTAGCTGCATCGCTTCACTTTGAGTTTGATCCCCAGCCCCGGAGGTGACCCACATAGCACAGCAGACCTCTCCTGACCGTCCCACTGCTCCCCTCAGCAGTGTACTTTGTCAATCTGCCTGTTCTGCTCCCCGCTCTGTCTCTGGTGAAGCCTCTCACTGCCACTGTACCTCTGGCCAGTACCCTGGTTCTGTATGCATAAATAATCTTTACCAAAAAAAAAAATTTTCTTGCCAGGAGAAGTAGGTGAAATGTGCCTTGTCAGGGACCAGCCCTATAAGGCCTGGATCTGATTTTTTAAAATTAGCGCAGAGTTCTGCGCTCTGATAAGTGAGATAAGATGGATCATCATCAAATTCTTTTTTTAGAGGAATTAGTTTATTTTGGAGGTAATCTGAGATAAAAATGAGATGGGGAGGGGAAGGAAGTTGGTATAGATTTGTTGGCAAGCAAGTCACTGCGTAAGCAACTGGTTTCCTTGTTTCTAGGTAATAGTGGGAGAATTATTCCAGCAACTTGGCAAGGAAAGCTGCACCACCTAGCTATCAAAGTTTGACCCATCATAGCTTAAAGGTTGATTCTAGGGTTTTTGGCTTTGTTTATGAGCTAGATATGTTTCCATAATCAGAAAAGACCCTAAAGCAGAAAGAGCAGATAAGCAGTGAAATGGCTGAGCACATAAGATGGAAAAGATGGAAGGTGTTCTGTCTGCTCTTGCAGGTTCCCCAGTATAAGCAGGGATCCTTTAGGCTGTGGGGCCCCAGGAGTTGCTGCCACAACGCTGTGCTTATTTATCCCCTGCTCCTGGAGGAATATTTTTTGGCACAGAGTAGGTATTAACAGACAGTTCTTAACTGAGTAATTGTCCTTTAGGGATCAGCTTTATTCTTTCAGTTGTCATGATGTAAGTGGGATACATATCTTGATTATGATGTGGGAAGTGACGCTGGGGAAATTCTGAAGTTAACGCTAAAATCTTCCCACTGGTTGAAACTATTTTTTTTTTTCAATATAGGTCACTTTATACCTCCTGATCAAGTACACGGAGAGCTTTTTAAAGACTGGAATATGCCATTTAGACCCCCATCATTTCCAGCAGTGAAACGGTATAATCAGAATCGGACACTTCTTCAAAAGCTTCGGATGGAAGAGAGATTTAAGAAGAAAGAACAGTTACTCAGGAAGAGATTAGCCAAAAAAGGAATTAATTACGATTTTCCTTCATTGGTAACTATTTCTTCAGGAAATGTTTTCATCTTGGGGGTGGGCTTTGTACTGCATTACTTATATCTGTATTTTTGGGGGGTTGTCAGAAGAGTCCTGTCACATTTATTTCTGTTTAAAGAAAAAATATGTAACAACTTTTCGAACAGCCCAGTGTATATAAAAGATTCAACCCACTGCTGGCCACATACTAGGTTTGACTACATTTTTGAAACACTAAATTGTTCGTTCTTCCTCAGTTTGTCAGAGCAGATTCTGTTATCTCCATTATACAGAAAAAAAAATTACTGAAAGGGATTCGCTGATTAGCAAAATTTTTTATTTTTTTTTAAATTATTGGTGTTGTCACTATTTAGCAAAAAACATAATATCTGTAGATTACTATTAAAGGTGTCATACCAGAATTATGATCAGTTTATTACATGCTATGAATGAATGTGAAGGCAGTACATAACTCCCTGTATTTGTGGATTTTGCTTTTAAATTTAAGTAGTTTGTCATTTAGAAGGATTTACTGATAGTGGGTGTAGGATTTAATGGTAAATTTAAAAATAAATAATTTGTGACTGCCAGTTAATAATTTCTTTGTATTTAAGGTTTTACATAAAAAGGGAGAAAATGCTGCAAAGCCTCGTCGTCGTAGGAAAACTACAAAGAGCCAGGTAAGATTTTCACTTACATTACATACCAAATGTTAAGGAAGGGTAAATGGGAAAGTATATTCAAGACTACTGCAGCTGCAAAGTAACAAATGGATGGCCTCTCTTAAAATTTGTTGAAGGTTTTACCGAAGAAGACAGAAGAAATTTCCAACACTCCCAACACTTCTGAGAAGACTCTAGACAGCCAGGTAAAATTGTGCTCAATGTTCTTGAAATGGTATTAGAATTTGAAAGAAGAAAAGTAGTTTCTGCTATTATTACTTTGCTAAAATTTCACATTTTATCTGGCATAAACCCTTACTGGTGATTTAGCAGAGGTAGTAAGTTTAGCAAAATTATTGTGCCCCTATTTAAGTTTTTACCATTTTAACAAAGTGACTTGAATTAGGAAGAAATGAGACTAGTACTTTTATAAATGTAAGTGGAGTTTTCTACCTAATGCCCTGTAATAGAGTATATTGTATTCCGATTGTGAGTCTTCATGTTACTTTAGCGAGCACTTAAGCTTTTCATTGTGTGTAACAGTATCACTGAAAGACCTGAGATAACACGGTCCAGCTTGTGTAAAGACAGGAGGTTGTTTGGGAGGCAGTAGTGTGAGGTCATTCCTAATACCTTGTCATCTTTCACTTGTTGAACCCAGGCCCCCACGCCAGTTTGTACTCCAACGTTTTTGGAGAAACGAAGATCTGAAGTGGCTAAAATGAATGATGATGATAAAGACGATGAAATAGTTTTGAAGCTGCCCACAGGTGCTGTAAAAGAAGAAACACAAGAGACTAAAACACCAACAAGTTCTAGGAAAAAAAGACGGAGAAAAAACAATCAATGATTCTGAAATGTATTGTGTATAATACTTCTGAAAAACATAGTTTTATTATGATTCTTTGTACTTAATTAGATACAGTGGAGAGAACTTTGATAGATACTTTGGGGGGGGAACGAGGTCCAGGTCAACGAGGACTGTGTAATTTTGGCTTCTCTGCCCGTGCTGAACTACAGGGCGCTACATCCTGCGGTAGCCAGGCCAGGCTGCCTCTGTCCTGGTGCCTTTTGGTTTTCTTTGCACATTTCATAGCTATCTTTAGTTATTTCACCTGGGTGGAAGAGTCACCGTTAATTGTGGGTTTAGACAGTAGATACAGCCTTTGTTAAATTAAACCTTGCTTGACCAACACATGGTTCTCTGTGTTGGGCTGGGCATATTTAACACAGGAGGGTTTGACTTGTATACATTGGGTGGTAGAAATGGAGTTAAAAGGAGAGTGAGAAAGAGTATAAATGTTAATACAGATTTATTTTTATGTGACCATTTTTACCAATGTTAAATTTGTTTACATTAGGCTGCTATGGATTAATAGCTACTGTTATGTATCAGTAATTATTCCATTTATGTGGAATTGTATTTCAGGATTCAGCAACAGTAAATAAACATCCACATAAGTTACTTGTGTGCAGTTGGACTCGGGTACCTTGTGAGTTGCCTTCTTAGCTATTCACTTTTCAACCTCAAAATGTGCTTTTGTACTAATTTAGATTGATTAAAAATATCTAATGCCACCAAATACTTTTTCATTCAGTATTTGTTAAGTCTTTTTAAATAATTTACAGGGCTACATGTTCTGATACAAAGTAGAACTTAAGTGTATATGGAGAGTACATTGTATCTCTAAAAATTACTTAATACCAATTATGTTCCATGTGTTTGTTGAATGAATAACAAAACTGCCTCTCAAATCATTTCTGAACTTTGTGGATCAGACCATCCCTTGGGTTTCCCCATCTGGGAAAACTTCAGATAAGTATCTATACAGTCCTGTTTTATCTCCTTAAGGGGCATGTGAACTCGTGTGTGTGTTTGTGTGCGCGCTTGCGCACGCACACATACACACACGTGCACAAGATGAATGTTCCTCTCTCTCTCTCCCCAGTCTACCATCTACCTATCTACCCTACTTTGGCATTAATAGCATCATTAATGTGGCCATTTCATCATGGCCATGGATTTTTTGAAGTTACATGATAAAGAATTTTTCCATGGAGCAGATTTTAAGAGAATACAAGGTAGTACCTGTTTGATAGTCAGATTTTCTAGGGAGAAAATCAGGCTGGAATCACCTCAACCAATAAAATGAAATGTTAGTAGTAATGCTGAGCAAACAAGGTAAATAGAGGGTACAATTAAAAGTTGTACCGGGCCCTCCCTGGTGGCGCAGCGTGTTAAAGCACTGCACTGAGAAGCTTAAGCCACTTCCGCATGAGTTTGATCCCCACCTGCCCGGAGGTGACCACATGGCGTGGCAGACCTCTCCTGACCCACCCGCTGCTCCCCTCAGCAGTGTACTTCGTCTATCTGTTCAGCTCCCCACTCTGTCTCTGGTGAATCCCCTCACCCTCCGCATCTCTGGCCTGTACCCCAGTTCTGTATGAATGAATAAATAAATCTTTTTTAAAAATGTTGTACAGTCCACATAACCACAGCTACTTAAAAATGATAAATTTCTTAAAATAGGAAGGTAAAAAAAATACTGATGTGAAAGTATAAGAATGTTGCTGTTTCAGTCTAGCCTATATCTTAGCATTCTGCATCACAAACGCAACCATCCAAAAATGTGTACTATATCAACACTGAGGGAGGTTAAGGAGAGAGTAGGAAACAGGTGAAAGGAGGACAGGGTGGGGAGGAGAGAACAGTAAGTAGCTTATGGCAGAGGGCTGTGGTGATCACACCCAAGGGGAGAAATCCTATATTGTGGAAAAATAACAGGATGTTTTTAAAATAAGAATTTTACAGGGAAAAAAGTTTTGCCATTTGTGAAACATGAATGGAGGGGAGATGACTCTTGAGTGAAATAAGAAAGACATACTGGGTGACTTATATGTGTGATAGAAGAAAAAAGGAACACAAAAAGAAAACACTAAAAATTGAACTGCAAAATTGAAACATAACTGCTAAAAGGGAGGGTAGGGAATGGGGAAGGGAAAGAGGGAGAGGGCCCAAAGGACTAGGGTTGATGCTGTCCTTGGATGCCTTGGTCGAGGGTGTGGTGTGGAAACATAACCTGAGGAAGTGGCATCTCATATTTCTGAATCAGTATTGCAAACCAGTGTTATTTAAATTAAAAAAAAAATTGGAAAATCATTATCAACACTTAAGTGACTTTGGGAATTAGTGTTTGCTGTCAACTTCATGTTCTTTATGAAATGAAGTCAATTAATCAATTATATTTAAAGTAAAAGTACCTCTTAAGGGCCTTGCTGGTGGTACAGTGGAGCACTATCAAGCCATCACCAGCCACTGTAGCAAAAGTTCAATCCCTGGCCAGGGACATGACCACATGGCCTAGCAGACCTCTCCTTTCTCACCTGTTGCTGCTCCCCTCAGCAGTGTATTTCAGTAGATTCTTCTGTTTTGTTACCCACTCTCTCTGGTGAATCCTCACACTTCTGGCCTGTTCTTGTATACATAAATAAAAATGTTTCTTTTCCAACACCTTTTACATGGTGTTGAAGTCATTATAATGACCACTAACATTTGAATATATATTGCCTTGCTGTTAAAAGTTAACATTGAGATTTCCATACCCACAAAAATTTGTACCTGTTATATTTTGCAACCTCAAAATACAGTTCCAGCAGTTTCTCAGACCTCACTACAAGTGCAAAAGAAATTTCCATGTTTTCAAAATCCATTTATTTGGATTTTTTTAACTTCCACCTATTTTTCAACTGACAGTGCATTGTAATGAATGATTTGCTAAAGACAAATACCATGACGGAGTGAATATGATCCTACAAATGACTTCCTAGTGCGGCATTACAGTCATGTTGGGGGATTATTGTATTTGACAGTACTTATCTCTGAAAAGACAATTCAAAAGATGAAATACAATCAGATTACAGGCTAACATTGACAAATGAACATTTGCAAATGATTTTGACTGTAAGGTACATGAATTTCACAATTTCTATGAAAATTAACTCTGTAAATCAAACCTAAAGGTAAAACAAAACTAAAAAAACTTTGAAGAAAACAGAAAAATCTTCATGACCTAGCATTAATCAAGGAGTTCTTACACATGACAATAAAAGCAATATCCACTAAAGATAATATTGCTAAAATGGATTTATTCAGTTTTTTGTTGTTAAGTAACTTGAACAAAAAGCTGCGGGCAGCACTGAAATGTTTATAAACGACTCTTTTCCCAGAGTTGACCTCTCAAAAAAATCAGCCCAGTCCAAATTGTCATAAGGAACTCGACTTAAAATGGGAAAACAAGTGAACATAAAATGGGAAATAATACAGATTTTTCCGCACTTGCATTCCCATTAAGGACTCAGGCAAGATATGAGGTATATGCTAATAATGAACATTTATTAAATGTTTGCAAGAGTCATTGTAATTATTTAAAATATTTTAACTTATTTAATCAGAACAACCCTATGAAATACATATAACTACCATCAACAAGCCTAGAGACATTAAGTAAATAGCACGAAGGTAGTAAATGGTGAACCAACTAAGCTGACTCAAGCCCTAAAGCTTCAACAGGGTGAGTATGTTAGTGGTAATGGTGAAAAGGAAAGATACAAAAGCCTTGCAACTGGCAGAGCTGGTGGCTTGAATTGGCAGAAACCGTACACTGGAGCTGGGCATGGGAGGGTGGAAGCAAGCAGAGTTCCATTCTTTTGTACTCAGATTTGAAAAAAAACAATATGACACTAGGTGGCAGTAGATCCCTGGCACTTAAAACCTACATTCGACGCAGCAAAAAAATGCAAAATTGTTAAAGGAATTTATCCCCTAATGTTAACAGGTTTTTAAAAGACTTCTCTGAGAAACATCATTTACACACACAGCATCAATTTCTAGACAGCTAAAGGACAGAAATTGTCACTAGGTAATCACTTCTAAGCAATTGGATGCTTACAGAAATCCTTCAGATAATTGGTTATTGTTGAAAAATATTTGTCAAAGAAGTCCAGATCACCAGTGGTAAAACAAATCAATGAAATGAATCATGAAAGTTTTAGTTTGTTGAATTTCATGTGGCTACAAATAAGTATAGCTTAAGGCAAAAATTATGGGCAAATCATTTTATAATTTGGTGTTCTCCAGTGTAGATTAGAATTGGAAACTATCTTTTTAAGATTCACTTATTTATTTATGCATACAAGAACTGGGGTACAGGCCAGAGTTTCAGGGGCGGTGAGAGGCTTCACCAGAGACAGAATGGGGAGCAGAACAGGCAGATCAACGAAGTACACTGCTGAGGGGAGCAGTGGGCGGGTCAGGAGAGGTCTGCCAAGCCATGTGGGCCACCTCCAGGACTGGGAATCAAAAAGCTGAAGTGGTTTTAGCCTGTTAGTGCTGTGCTTTAACCTGCTGCACTACCAGTCTTTTTTAAATTGATTAAACTTTTTTATTTTCTTACACATCATTGTTCAGTTTTTACAATATTTGATTTCTCCCCTCAGGTGTAGTTCCCCCTAAAAATCCTCCCACCACATCACCCATGAACCATTACCATAGTCCCTTGTGCTCTCCCCTCCTGTTTCGGCCTCTTTCCCTCCCCTGCGGTATCCCTCAGATCTACATTTTGCCTACAACTTTTGTCCTTTTTTTTTTTTTCTTTTTCAATTTGTGTTTGGTTTCCTTTATTCCTCCTAAAAGTGAAACCAGGCAATATTTTTCTTTTACTTCAGACTTATTTCACTGAGCATAATCTCTTCTAGCACCATCCATGTTGCTGCGAATGACATGAGGTTATCAGGGTTTTTTGTTTGTTTTTTAAAGATTCATTTCTTTATGCCTACAAGACCTGGGGTTTAGGCCAGAAGTAAGAGGATCCATCAGAGACAGGGTGGTCAACAGAACAGGGAGATGTACCAAAACACACTGCTGAAGGAAGCAGCAGGGAGACAGGAGAGGTCTGTTGTGCATGTGGGTCAGCTCCCTGGCCGGGGATTGAACTTGTCTTGCAGTGGCTGGTGATAGCTTCATAGTGCTGTGCTTGCACCACTGGGGAGGCCCAGTTTATGGTTTTTGATTTTTGAATAATCACATCTTCTTGATCTATTCATCTGTTTTTAGGTATTAAAGTTGTCTCCATAGCTTGGCTATTGTAAATAGTGCTATAGTAATCAGGAGTGTTGTTTCCTTTCAGATTAATTTTTTTGTATTACTCAGGTATATAAACAGAAGTGGAATTGCTGGATTATATGGCATAGATCCAGTATCTCAGTGACCTATGCAGCTTCTACTTGGGCTAACTGAAAGAAGGAAACAAATTTGTCACAGTGATATGGAAGTTACTTTTCTGTGCTGATAAGTGGCCAATTTTAGTCTTCCTAGTTATAAATAAATACTGTCAACCCCAGGAAAAGAAATTCAGACATTTGATGCCTTCCAAACATAGTTTCCATAGCAAATGTCCTATGAATAATGCCGTTAGCCTCTGGCAGCTTCATTCACTTCCCGGAGTATTCTAAGAGGATGCGATCTAATAAAGTAAAACAGGATTTTTGCAAGGGAAATCAAAGAAAAGATCCTAATT